TTTTTGTATTTTTAGTAGAGACAGGGTTTCACCATGTTGGCCAGGATAAGGGTGGGCCTCCTTCTCCACCACACCTGACTAATTTTTGTATTCTTAGTAGACACGGGGTTTCACCACGTTGGCCAGGATAAGGGTGGGCCTCCTTCTCCACCACACCTGACTAATTTTTGTATTCTTAGTAGACACGGGGTTTCACCACGTTGGCCAGGATAAGGGTGGACCTCCTTCTCCACCACACCTGACTAATTTTTGTATTCTTAGTAGACACGGGGTTTCACCATGTTGGCCAGGATAAGGGTGGGCCTCCTTCTGAAATGTGTCCCCGCAGGGTGGCCGATTCAGCCAAAAGAGTGGGGACTTCTGGGGTGGCCTCTGACTCCACGAGGAGGCATCAGACTTGATTATTAGAGAAAGGGCATCCAGGCCCTGGCAGGGGAGCCACCCAGAGGGGCATGGAGGGGACGCTCTCTAAAGGCTGCTTTAGAAGAACACGTCTTCTCGTGACTTCCCCATGGATTCACGTAGATGCCCTCAATCGATTTTCTCTCCTTCACAGAGGGGACAAGAGAGCTGACCCCGTGCACAGACTGCATTTTCATTTTTTCTGATCCCTTATACAATTTTCTCTGTCTTTTTCCTCTCAGACCCCTCCCGAACACCCGAACGCCTACCAGGTCCTCAATGATCTCCTGAATGCGCTTCTTGGCGGCCTCCACACAGTCCTTGGCGCCCTTGAGGGTGACTTTGTCGCTCTGCGTGCTAGAGCGTGGGAAGCTGACCATCACGCCACCATACTCCTCAGCAATCTCCCGCAAAACCTGGCCTCTTCGGATGACGAAGTGGCGGTGGTGCCTGGGGTCCACCAGCATGTAGTCTTCCACCACATTATCCTGCAGTGTTGACAAGAGATGAAGATAAGCCACCCCATCCCGGCCCTAGCAGAGCCGGCAGCTGAGGCCCACTCCCTACCAGGTTTTGGATCAAGGCCTCCAGCTCCTTCTGCGCCTCCCGGACAGCGTCCTCCTTCCCGATGATGGTGATCAGGTCCTGGTCCTTGTCCTCGGCCGCAGGGAAGATGATGCGTGCTCCAGTGCTGTCACGCACCTTGCGGATTTTGCCGCCCCCCTTGCCGATGAGGAATTTGTGGTATTCTGGCTTGGCGCGGATGTCAACAGTGAAACTCTTGGTTTGCTGCAGAAGGCAACCCCGCTCTGTTAGCCGGACACCACATGCCTGGGCCACAGTGAGGAGACAAGAGGGCCTGGAGGACGGCAGTGTCGGGCCCCCTTACACCGTCACCAGTGTCCTGATGTTGCACCAACACCCCCAAAATGGGGCTGGCACACCGCTGAATCCGACAGATGGATGCCCAGACTGCATGTACACCTCTCTTCCACAACAATCAGATGCTGGTGCTGATGAACACACAGGCTTAGAACCCTGGTCCTGCCACTTATAAGCACTGACCAAACTTCTCCAAGGCATTTTTGATCTACAGAGGGGGCAGAGGGAGCAATGCACTGGATGATGTGTGGGCAGAGTGGGGTGCGCCCAGGAACAAGCCGCCAGACAGCCCACACTGCTCCTGCTCTTCTACGCCCTTCTAGACCAAGCCCACACACCTGGACCAGGCTTCCTATGCTCTCATGACTGCTACAGGTTGGTCCCACAAAACCAGCCGCTCCCCAAGCTCAAGCAAGCTCAACTCGGAGGGACAGAAGCCAACCACGGCTACAGTTAGAGACCAGTCCTCAGAGGCCTCAGGTAGCACAACACCCTTGTGTGGCACAAAGAAATGAGGGTCCTGAAAAGGCCCTAGACACTGTGACTTGTGGACACTGCTGCCTCTGGCCACTTCTCCAGGGGACACAGAGCAGCTCTACGTGACTCAGACCCACCGGGGAGCGCCTGCCTTTCCCCGGACCCAAGACCTGGCCCGCAAGCCAGAACACCAAGGAAAGATGTGCTCACAGAAAAATATGAAATGACAACTTTGCTGTCTTTTAAGTGCAGCTTTCACCAAATACCACCTAAGACTCTGCTGCTTTTCAGACACATCCACAAATAGCAGCATTAGTTAAAAACCAATCAAAAGGCAAATCCAATCTAGCAATACGGTAAAGGACAACCTACCAAACCAAGTAGGTTACCCCAGAAATGCAAGACTGGCCAAACGTAAAGACAGAAAGTCAGACTAATGTAACCTAACAACACAGAAATACGAGGCTCCAGATGAGAGAGAAGCCTGTCTGTTCACAGATCACATGACTGTTTACATAAGAATCCACAAAGAAGTGACTAGCACTAAGACATGAGCCTTATTTACCAGTCTCACGGAGGTCCACATACGAAAATCACAAGCCCTTCTCTATACACTAACAACTGGGAATGGGAAAAGTACCATCTGCAATAGCACTAAAAGAGTAACGGTAGTTACATCTGTTAAGCAGAACATAAAAATGTGCAGGAATGAAAACACCCATGAAGAATCACAGACCCAAACAAAAATGAAGAAATGACTCAGAGTCAAAACTGCCGAGCTGTTAGTCCTCACCAGTGTCATCTTTAGATTTACCACAATCACAACCAAAACATGAAAATGTCATTTTCCTACAAACTGACAGGCTGACTCAGCAAGGGATACAGAATAGCCAAAGTTAAGAGGGCTTGGGCCGGGCGCAGTGGTGGTGGCTCACGCCTGTAATCCCAGCACTTTGGGAGGCCAAGGTGGGTGGATCACCTGAGGTCAGGAATTCGAGACCAGCCTGGCCAACATGGCAAAACCCCCGCCCTACTAAAAGTACAAACATTAGCCAGGCGTGGTGGTGGGCGCCTGGAATCCCAGCTACTTGTGCCTCTGAACCCCAGCCTGGGTAACCAGAACAAGACCCCATCTCAAAAAAACACGGGGTTCTGACACAAGGACAATAGTAATTCAACGGGCAATCTTTGGGGGTGACAGAAAATGAATTTTATTGTTGTGGTGGCCATATGACTGCACATTAAAACTCAACTATACTTGAAGAATGGTCAGTTTTACCGTAAATTGTACTTAACAAAAACACTCCAAAACTCATAAGCAAAAGAGCAACTTTTACATATTGTATAAGTGAGCATTTGGACCTAGAAAGGCCCTTCAGTAATAGCAAAAACAAAGAGGCATAAAAAGCGTATTATAAAGCTCTTTTCTAACCTGCCACAAAGGAAGGGCATTTGGGGTTTCCACAGCGAAAAGAGAACACTCTGAGGACCAGAACTTCCTGCCAAGAGGCACTGTGACGCCCTCCCCGTGCTCACCTTCTCTTCTGCCAGATGCAGGAGCTGCTTCTTGGCCTTCTCCACATCCGAGGAAGGGCCCCTGATAACAACAGTGTCGCTTCCTGAACCTTCCACGGGAAAGTGAATGTGGACTCCGCCACACTCCTCCATGATGGAGCGGATCAGACGGCCCTTGGTGCCAATGAGGGAGTTGTGCAGCTTGGCAGGGATGGAGACCTCTACCTCGGCTATGTTGGCCTGAAACCAAACACAGAGCAGGAGGAAGTCACATTTTTGGGGCAAAAAAGGGATAGAGGAAAAGATAAACTATCATCTTTGGTGATGATGAACACACAGGCTTAGAACCCTGGTCCTGCCACTTACAAGCACTGACCAAACTTCCCCAAGCCATTTTTGATCTGCAGAGAGGGAGGAGGGAGCAACACGTTGGACCATGTGTTGGCAGAGTGGGGTGCGCCCAGCAGAGCAGGTGCACTGGGAGGTGTTAACTAAGCAGGACCTGCAGTCTTTGTGAATGTGTGCTGGGTTGGGAGGTGGGAGCGTGGTAATTTCAGACCACACATAATGCTCTGCCTCTTCAATCAACTCTCTGGCTCTGCCTAGTAGAGGTGGGTCCGACATGTCTATGGATAAACTTCTAATAAAACCAAAGATTCTGCTTTCAGCCAAAATGCAACAGCAGGGACTGGACTGAACGTAAGGCCTAATGGCGATTTTCAAGACCCTGGAGACTGGAAACAAGGTGAGCCTTACATCTGCCCCAAGTTGCTGCTGCAGCACAGGAAGTGAGGAAACAGAACCACAAACCCAAGAGGACCACGGGGGCAAGAAGAGGTCAGAGCCCAAAGAGACCGGCACCAAGAAACTCTGAGATCTGGAGACCAACCACTCAGACGCTGACACACATGAGGAAATCACCCCGGGTCCAGGGAAGAAGCACCAGAAAGATTCCAGGAAACAGTGCCCGCAGCTCAGTCACCAGGAAACAGTGTCTGCAGCTCAGTCAGGGCCTGGTACAGTACCTGCAGCTAAGTCACCAGGAAAGAGTGTCTGCAGCTCAGTCGGGTCCTGGTACAGTACCTACAGCTCAATCACCAGGAAACAGCACCCGCAGCTCAGTCGGGGCCTGGTGCGGTACCTACAGCTCAGTCACCAGGAAACAGCGTCCGCAGCTGTCAGGGCCTGGTGCGGTACCTACAGCTCAGTCACCAGGAAACACTGTCTGCAGCTCAGTCACCAGGAAACAGTGTCTGCAGCTCAGTCGGGGCCTGGTGCGGTACCTGCAGCTCAGTCACCAGGAAACAGTGTCTGCAGCTGGGTTGGGGCCGGGTCCCGTGCCATCCCCAGCAGGTTTAAGCTTTCTGGGACATGCAGTATAGCACTCAGAAGGATCTTACCTCAGCAAATGGAAATATTTGGGCCTCAACTAAATGCTCTGATCCTCCCTAATGAAACTTAAAGGCAAGTCCTAAAAGGAGCAAATTGTTTCAGAGTAATTTCACAGAGCCACAAAATATCCAGAGGAATACAGAAACACCCTTATTTAGAAATACCAGAAATGCAAAGAATAGGGGAAAAACCGATAATGAGGAAAAGAAAATAGAAAACCACCCAGACAGAAATGACAGTGTTAGAATCAGCTGGCCAAGGACCCTAAAACACGTATTTAACTGTATCCTCTATGGTCAAAAGCCCAAAGAAAGACTGAACATGTTAAGCACTGAAAAAAGATATTAAGAAAAGATTCAGACTGAACTTCTCGAGAAGAAAACATCTAAAATGAAAATTATACTAGATGAAATTATGAAGATTAGAACACTGCAGAGAACTAATGGATTTAAAGAGACTGACGGAGAAAACCAATACCGCGCCTCTCCCCAACCCAACAGAGTGCGGGTAGAAGACAACTAAGACCCAGGTCACTAGAGTCCCTGATGGGGGCACAGAAAAAAGATTCGGAGTGACCAAAAACGTTCCAGATTTGATGAAATTCTGAACACAGATATCCAAGAAGTTCAATAAATACCAAGCTAAGAAACATGCAGAAAACTACACAGAGACACATCATAACTTGCTCAGAGCTGGTGGTAAAATCTTAAAGGCAGCTAGAGGGAGAAGACCTGTCACAGACAGAGGAGCAAAGCCGGGGTGATGCTGGCTTCCTCACCAGAGGCAACGGCAGACAGCACTGATGCCAAGTCTAGAAAGAAAACACTGCCAACCTGGAAACCTGTATGCAGCAGAAACATTTTTCAAACACGAAGGAAAAAAATGCTTTCAGACATACAAAAAGTAAAATGATTCATTACCAGATACACACTATGAGAGACATTAAGTGATATCTTTCAGACAGAAGGAAAATGACAAGGATCCCACAAAGAAATGAAGAGCTTTAGAAATGGCAACTGTGTGGATAAACACATACTTTTTTTTCATATTAATTATCTTTAAAAAACAATGGAATTTTTTAAAAAGGTTAATGATGTACTGCAGGGGTTACACAAAATGACAGGACTTCAACCTGACCATGTAAAATGATGACATCATGGTGACTAAGCACTTGGAGATGCCGGTTGTTTTTGCTTAATGGGTATAGTTTTCCATTTAAGACGATGGAAAATGCTCTGAAAATGGACAAGGTGATGGCTGCACAACCGTGTGAATGTACTTAGTTGAATTAACCATTCAAAAAGGATTAAAATGATAAATTCCGCTATATACACTTTACTACAGTTGAGAGAAATTACAGTAAAAGGAAATTAACCACGCTTGTTAAATATACGTAACAAGTGTAAGTATGTGATACACAACACATATAATCACATACATAATTAAATTATTATTTTTTTTTTTGAGGCAAGGTCTGGCTCTAAGGCCCAGGCCAGAGTGCAGCAGCGCGATCTCAGCTCACTGCAGCCTCCACCTCCCGCACCCAAGCCATCCTCCTCTCACTTCGGCCTCCTGAGTAGCTGGGGCTACAGGTATGCACCACCACGCCCGGCTAATTGTTTTTGTATTTTTAGCAGTGATGCCGTTTTACCAGCTGCCCAGGCTGGTCTTGAACTCAAGTGAGCTCAAGTGATCCGCCCACCTCAGCCTCCCAAAGTGCTGGGATTACAGGTGTGAGCCACCATGCCTGACCACAAACATCATAATCTAAAAAAGCAAGCTACCAAAAAGAAACCCACTTTACTATCACATAAAGTAGGCTGTGTGCAGTGGCTCACACCTGTAACCCCAGCAGTTTAGGAGGCTAACGTGAGATCACTTGAGCTCAGGAGTTTGAGACTAGCTTGGACAACACAGCGAGACCTCATCTCTACTAACTAAAAAAAAAAAATTAGGTGTGGTGGCATGCACCTGTGGTCCCAGCTACTTGGAAGGCTGTGGGAGGACTGCTTGAGTCTGGGACGCCAAGGCTGTATTTTGTAGTAAGCCATGATTGTGCCACTGCACTCCAGCCTGGACGACAGCAAGACCTCATCCTTATAAGGGGGGAAAAAAAGGTAACATAGACTTTGGAGCCAAGCACACTACCAGGGAAAAGACATCATTTTATAATGGCACAGATTACATATGTTATGAACAACAGGTGACATCAGTATTGACAGCGAAAGGATAATGCAGGAATATTCTGAAAAACTTCATGTTAATAAATTTGACAACTTGGAGAAAATAGAAAACCCCTTGAAAGACACTAATTACCACCAAGTACACATAGAAAGAAACAGATGAGCTATCCACACATTACAGTATTACCCTGAAATAAAACAGAATGTCAAAATATCCTGCAAAGTGGAAGCACATGGGCCCAATAAAGAGAAGTTGCTGTGATTCCATTCACCCCCAAGTGCAGACGATCCAAATGCATCTCCTGCCTGCGGACAGGGCGGTGAGGGTGGCGGCAGTGCGGTTTTGAGGAGCTGCCGGGTGTGATGGAGGGAGACCGTAATACAAAATGGCAAGGGATTTTTGGGGTGATGTTGGGATTGATTCCATGGATGTATACAGATGTCAGAACTATGAAATCGCACATCGTAAATATGTACAATTTACTGCATGTTTATTTTTTTAAATGAAAGAAAATACTGTAAATACCTTTGGATGAGATTTTCAAGTAACAGAAAGAAAATGTCTAATGAGACAAGTGCCCATGTGAAATGCTACTGCTGCAGGTCCAGGTAAGTTAGCAGCATGACAGACAAAGGCAGAAAACTGCGGACCAAGCGGTCAGCTGCCTGGATAGAAAGCTGCGATTTTCCGCATCTGCCGCCTGAGTCTGCCTGGCCCAATGACCCTGCGTAACTCAACCCTAGGCTCAATCTTAGAGGCTGGTAGAGATTTTACTGGCCGATCTGCATTAGAAAACATCTCCCATTACCAGGTCTTTCTGAATAGACAGAATCCTGCTCCGGGCAGCTTCGCAGTTGGCTCGCTTGCCTGTGATGATAATGGTCTCTGAATTGCTATTCTCTGCTGGAAGATCAATCTTGGTGTTGCTTTCCTCACGAATCTACAGGGAGAGAGATCCCCATGAGAAGCTGACTAGAGCTCTCCCAGAGTTGAGACACAGTTGAGCACAGGGCTAGAAGTAAGGAAGAGTCCCTTCTCGCCTAAAACTGAAACGGTGCAGGACTACAGAGGACAGGGCAAAAAGCAGTGAGACGCAGGGGTCAAGCCATCACCTTTTTAATGTTTGCACCTCCTTTCCCAATGATGTTCTTGTGGAACTGTTTGAAGATCGGAACAGAAATTGAGTAGCTGTTTTCCACCTTAAAGACAAAAGAAAAACCACAGCTCGATTCACTGCCTGTTCCAGAGAGTGAAGGACAGTAACTCTTCTCCCCCAAGAGTAGCACGAACATGACAGGGCACTGGTATTTGCACACAGACCTTCAGAGGTTTGTCATGAGGGTGAGATCATTTGTCCACCAACTAACTAACCTTGCAAATTACAGTCAGTCGATGCAAGGATGCAAGTCCACTTTTTTTTTTTTTTTGGTGAGACGGTGAGTCACTCTATCCCCCAGGCCGGATGCAGTGGTGCGATCTCAGCTCACTGCAACCTCTACCTCCCGGGTTCAAGTGATTCTCCTGCCTCAGCCTCCTGAGTAGCTGGGATTACAGGCATGTGCCACCACACCCGGCCAATTTTTGTATTTTTAGTAGAGATGGGTTTTCACCATATTGACCAGGCTGGTCTCCAACTTTTGACTTAGTGATCCACTCGCTGCCGCCTCCCAAAGTGCTGGAATTACAGGCGCGAGCCACCACACCCGGCCACAAGTCCACTTTTTGGCTAAGAGAGTTCATGTCCAATGCCAGGATCAGAGCTGGCTAAGGGGCTCAGAACACACATGGAGACAGCACGGACCCTTATACTCTGGGGAATTCAGCACTTGGCAGTGGCCTGACTGCAGCTCACAGTGCTGGAGTCCCTCACTGTTGCCTGTCTCAGGACAGCCAGCAGCGAAGTCGAAGCCCATGGAGATACACGGCAGCCTGCAGCCTTCCCATCCACTACTCCACACACTTGCTAAACCTGTTCCCATTTCAGTTTTTGAGAAAATTAATAAATCAGTATATGACTCCCCATTTCACCTGTTACACCTCTCATCTTACTGGATGGGACAGTGTCTCTGGGTATCCGAAGACTCAAGGAAACAAGGTAACTGGGCATGAGAAATGGCAAATCTCCCCACCTGAATTCCAAAAACACTGCAGTCTTGACAATGACTACCAATCCAAACATCCAGGTATTAAGTGAGACGTTGTCTCCATTTTGTCCCAAGTCCCTGAGACGGAAGACCAGCCCAGTGCCTATGTGCCTTTCCCAGAGCAGAGGTGCCAGTGGGGAGTCAGGAGTTCTGACAGGACACGCACCCCACCCACCCCAGACGTTGCCATACAAGAAAGAATATCAAACAGCCCCTACCAGATCTGCCACCATCTTCTGCATGTATTTTGTGCATTTTTCCACCTCATTCTTGGGTCCTCTGAGCTGGACGATGTCACTTTTTTGTGCTGGGTCTGGGAAATTGATGATAACCTAGAACAGATCATCAGGAGCCTAAGTTCAGTTATGAGGAAGGACAGGATTCCCAGATATCGAATATCCCTGAAGTGTGACCTGGATCACTCCTATAGGGTTAAATAAAGTCTCTAGGAAACTTTACCTCTGGGAATTTGTCACGAATTTCACGGATCCGTTCACCCTTCTGCCCAATGATTGTGCGATGAAATCTCTGCTCAATGATTAGATCCTTGGTACGCTCATTTTCCTAAAAACACAATTAAAGTAGACATCACTTATCACAAGCATGGTGAACGACTCGCTGCTGACTCACGGGGACACCAGGGAGCCCTGGGCATAGTCCTTCCGGGACCAGGTGGGGGTGGCCTCTAGGTGGCACCTTGTAGCAGCCCTGGGAGCAACCAGCCATCAGAACGCGTGGCGCCTGACAAGCACTCTTGCCAACCGTCGCTACGCTCCACAACACTGGCTGAGCATCACTTTCCTGAACAAAGTACAATTAGGGAACTCACTACAGGACCCTTCAAACAAGTGCTATCGTGACCGTGGTAATTACCAAAGCAACTCAGTGAGCACTTCTGTTCTAACAGGCACTAGAGGGGAGGTCCAGCTCTTCTACTTGGAGGCTTAGCATTCTGCATAGCACGGGGTGATGCCTTCTGAATAGAGGGTGGCTCGGACCACTTTCCCTGCATGAGTAAGAACGTTCAACACAGGGCACTGAACCCATGTGGCTCTCAGCTCCTCCACAGGTCCCACTAAAATGTCAGAAGGAATATAGGTGAATAAGCAGAGCTGGAATCCAGGGAAGAACACCAACCTACCAAATGTTTCTCAGAATTCCAGATCAAACTGCTGTCAGATGACAGAGAAGTAAGCGCTCAGCAACCAGGGAGGGCATAAAGCAGCCAGGGAAAAGGCCTGGGCTGGAGGCCAGGCTAAGAGGACAACCCGGGATAGGAGGCCGGGGACTGAGCTCCGAGAAGGCCGCAAGCAATGGGAGGCTGCATCACGCTGGATTGCAGCTCAGGGCTACAAAAGAGGTCTGCCAGTTTGAGATTCCTCACGTGGGTACCGGGGTGAGATGAACAAAGAATTCCCCGGGCTGAGCAAATGACAGGGAACCCTGGGATTTGTTCCTCACACAGGCAAAAGTGCTGCTGCAGACACTCACGTAATATTTGACTTTTCTGGATACTTAAAGGCACCCAGAGACTTTCAAGGGTGGGCATCTGACTCACAGAAGCAAGGGAGCTTACAGCTTGGCATAAGCATGTACAAATTTTGGGGCGCCCAGGACAGCGCAGTGCCTCTGCCGGGTGGCAGACAGCAACAGCCCCCACTCCAGGTTTGTGGATGATGTAGCAGTGATCCTCCGGTTTGGCCTTACGTGAGAACCACCTGGGATGCCTTTCAGAATCCAGAAATGTCTGTCAGTCTCTGGAGCTGGTACCCAGGCATCTGGGAAGCCAGGGTGTGGTCAAGGCCAAGATGCTGCCACACAATTTCTGTGCCTTTCCAGCACAACACAGACATGGAGGACAAGACGTGCAGGTGACCTGGGGAGGACGAAGGAAGTGTGGCCCCAGGGAGACAGATCCGGTTCCAGTGCATGTGCGATCTGCTGCCTTCCATTCTCCAAGGCTGCACGCCACAACGAAGGGAGGCCCGTGCCTTCCCAGAGGCCCCGGCCGTGGTGCTTACCATGCGAGACGCAAGCTCCAGCAGCTCTCGCTTGGCCTGCTGCACACCCTGCGGGTCCCCCTCAATGCGGATCAAGTTGCTCTTCTCACTGTCAGGAGGGATGCGCACAGACACCTTGTACTGGTCTTTGATTCTGTTTACTGAGAAACACACAGGGAAACACATTTAGGATACAGAACCAACAACAACAATCTAAAAACACCTGCTGCCCAGCTCCATGTCCTCTGCTTCTCGTCTTGTGTTGCTCCACAGGGTCTTGCTCTGTCACCCAGGCTAAAATGCAGTGGCACAGTCACAGCTCACTGCAGCCTTGACCTCCTGGGCTCAAGTGATATTCCTGCTTCAGCCTCCTGAGTAGCTGCGACCACAGGTCTGGCTAAGTTTTTCTTTTTTTTGGAGAGATGGGGGTCTTACTATGTTGCCCAGGCTCATCTCAAACTCTTGGGCTCAAGTGATCCTCTGCCAATGGCTAATAACCAGGCAGGACAGGGCTGAAGCACAAAACTACTTTATCAGACTCCCATTCACCAAAAACGATGCTTAACTTCCAAAACAAGAATCGCCACTGCCTAGAATAGGGGCCAGTTACGATCTTCACCTGGATCACAAGGGTTTTGGAGGACAGGCTCTCAGACTTGACCACAAGTTGGCACTGCCCCGAGACCTTCAACTAACTCACGGTTGGGGCCACCCAGTCTCGGGATTTAGAGGCTCTAATGTACGGCTGGGGCTTCAGAATTTAAAAGATTCCAGGTGTTTCTAATGTGCAAGGAAGTTTGGGAATTACTATTCTCAAGTTAAAAAAATCACACACGTTAACTCCACACAAAAGCACTCACTGATGCCTAAGACCCCATCCATTGTTGGCTCAGATCCAAACTGAGCACTTCACTGTGTCTGCAAGACAAGCACTGTTGCAAACCCTCCTGCTGTCAACCTCTCTGATAGAACCCCAGGTTAGAGTTCCAGGCCCCCCAAATTCTGGGGAAGCTGTCATGGGGAAACAGGGAGTACAGCAGAGGAAAGCTCCGCTTGCTGGGAGGACGCCAGGAGAGCTTTCTGTGCGTTCCACCCCAACGCATGGACATGCAGAGGCGGCAAAAAGGCCACGCGCTGAGAGGCTGATATGGACGTGCAGCTGTTCCGGGTGGAGCAACACAAGACAAGAGAAGCAGAGGACATGGAGCTGGGCAGCAGGTGTTTTTAGATTACGAAAGAAAACGAGGATTAGGAACTGCATGAGAAGAAAACAGAACAGAGCGACTCACTAAGCTACATTCTGCAATTTCTAGGGAGCAAAAACCAGAAATTCATGTTAGAATTATACTACTGGACTTCCATATATATGTATTTTGAGACAGGGTCTTGCTCTGTCACCCAGGCTAAAATGCAGTGGCACAATCACAGCTCACTGCAGCCTTGACCTCCTGGGCTCAAGTGATAATCCTGCTTCAGCCTCCTGAGTAGCTGGGACCACAGGTCTGGCTAAATTTTTCTGTTTTTGTAGAGATACGGGTCTTACTATGTTGCCCAGGCTCATCTCGAACTCTTGGGCTCAAGTGATCCTCCTGCCTTGGCATCCTAAAATGCTGGGATTACAGGCAAGAGCCACTGTGTCAGGCCGAAATAAAAACTGCAGTTAAGGAAAACAACAAAACCGTAAAAGCAAGTTGATGGTGTGCACATGGTTCAGTGTGCATAACGGTCACTTTGTGCCTGTAGACTCTCATGCTGTCACGTAAAATGCCCATAAAACCTAAGAGTGACACCAGAGAGCTCCCCATGCACAGGCCCACAGCACAGCTGACAAGCCTACGTTTACTCCTAACAAAAATGGACACATGGGCAGCAGTCCTGGTCCCACCACCTGGGAAAGCTCCTTCATCCACGAACTACCCAGGAAAGGGGACATGCTTCCCTTTTCACCTTCCACCCGAAGGTGACATACACGACATGTACACTTGTTTTCAGAACACGCAAGCACTGTGATGTGTGGGTACAGCCACACAGCTAGAGGAGGAGGTTTAAAAACACATTCTTGGCAGGGTGTGGTGGCTCACGCCTGTAATCCCAGCACTTTGGGAGGCCGAGGCAGGCAGATCAACCGAGGTCAGGAGTTTGAGACCAGCCTAGGCAACATGCTGAAATCCCGTCTCTACTAAAAATACAGCAATTAGCTTGGCGTGGTGGTGCATGCCTGTTGCCCCAGCTATTTGGGAGGCTGAGGCAGGAGAATCGCTTAAACTCAGGAGGTGGAGGTTGCAGTGAGCCGAGATCGCGCCACTGCCCTCCAGCCTGGGTGACAGAGACCTAGGTGACAGAGACTCTGTCTCAAAAATAAAAAAATAAAAATAAAAAACATGCTTGGACTTGCAGCAGTGCACTCACATGACACAGTCGCAACAGCACCCTGGAGCTGTGCTGCACCTGCAGCCTGGCACAGTGAGGCACACGCCCACCCGGGCCGACACGTCACTGCCTCTGCAG